GAGTAAGTGTTAATTTGAACATTTGCAACTAATAAACGGCTTCCCATTGGTCCACACGCAATGTGGCGGGTTTGAGAGACACTGGATCCCTTGAGGTAGGTACTAGAACAGAGGTTGAGAGTTTACAGTGAAGCAGGAACTGACTCTGGCTCTGCTTTGGAAAAGGTAGAGATTATTCTAAGCCCAGGCAGAGGTAGTTGTAGCCACTAGTAAAGAGCAGGTCGAAAATAAATAGCAGGAGTCTGAAATCCATAGCCAAAGGCAAAGCTCCCATTTCAGAGGAGCTTCAGGCACATCTGGATGAGCTTTCCATTTCCATAGAAGTAAAAACTCACTAACTCTGAAAGAAAAGAATTTTAAAAATAATAACAAAACAGGCAATGTGGTCTCTCTCCATAAGAAATCCGTTTATACAGCATCAACTTTCAAGCCTGGTCTCGTGACTCAGGTGAAATTTGCCAGCCTATATTCCTACCCTTTTACCTGGACCTCACTCTAGTTTGATTTTTTTTTAAACTTGAGAGAATAAATGGGGGAAGAGGGATAAAGTAAAAAAAAAAATTAGCAAGTGGAAATCAGATTTGTGAATGTATCACAATTTGGTTGCAAAGCAAACTTTCACAGGCAGTTTACAGTTCCCCCCCCCCCCGTAATTGTCTTTTCTAACTCTACATTTTTTCAGCTCCCTGTAGACAGTTTAAAAATTGGACAGAGGGAAAACATCCTCAGCTTTTTCACCTTTCAAAGAAAAAAAATGTTTCCAATCACATCATCTATTGCTTAGCTCATCCTCACTGACCATGGTTTATTCATTTCGGTCTTTTTTACAATCCTTGGAACATTAAAGATGAAAAAAGGATAGGGTAAAGCCCTTTGTCCTCTCTGACTCTATCCTTTTGTCTCCATGTCGTTCTCTCTCTCTCCCTTCCTCCTTCTCTCCTTCTGTGCCTTCCTCCCCCGCTAGACTCACTGAATACCCACTCAGCACCCAATCCATCTGTGTAGTGTTCAGCACCTTGGGCAAGCCACACTCCAATATCACACACAGCAGTCACACCCCGGATTCCATTTGGAGCCTTGTTTCAGCACCCTTGGGCAGTGTGTGCACACAGAGCACCTGGGGTTCTTTCAGCTCCTTGGATGATCTTTTATTTTAGCAACCCTGGGCAAGACCACAAACAGAGTGAAGGCTGCAGAGCCAGACCTGACCTCTTTTTGTTTAGTTATTTGGAAAGGGGCATCTGTGGGAGAGTCAAGTTTCCAGGCCAATAGTTTAGGAACTTGTCTTTCCTTTCCTTTCCTTTCCTTTCCTTTCCTTTCCTTTCCTTTCCTTTCCTTTCCTTTCCTTTCCTTTCCTTTCCTTTCCTTTCCTTTCCTTTCCTTTCCTTTCCTTTCCTTTCCTTTCCTTTCCTTTCCTTTCCTTTCCTTTCCTTTCCTTTCCTTTCCTTTCCTTTCCTTTCCTTTCCTTTCCTTTCCTTTCCTTTCCTTTCCTTTCCTTTCCTTTCCTTTCCTTTCCTTTCCTTTCCTTTCCTTTCCTTTCCTTTCCTTTCCTTTCCTTTCCTTTCCTTTCCTTTCCTTCCCCCTCCTCCTCCTCCTCCTCCTCCTCCTCCTCCCCTCTTCCTTCCTCTATACTATAAACATCCTTGTTTTTTCCTGATAGTATTTGAACCTGGTGGAATGTATGTCAGGAGATGTTTTCTTTTTCTTTTTTTAAGGGGAAGGATGATGGCAGCATCTCCAGCTCTTGTGGGCGGAGTTGTGGGTTAAAGAAGGTTGTTTAGCTTGCTAGTGTCCAGTAAGTTGTTCTGTGATACAAAATAATGCTGGAAATTCAGTTAAGAAAGCCAAGGCCAGAAAGAGGATTGTGATTTGTCTACTGCAATGACTCAGTGTCCAGGCTCTAAATAGCACAAAGGACTCTGGGTCATTAGTCCCACTTCTCTGGCAGCTGGATACCACTGATAGGATGACTCACCTCTACATGAGACTTCTTCCAAGCCCTTGCACATCAGAAGCCCTTGAATATGGGATAGTTTTGGCCAATGGGAAGAAAGTGTGTGTGTATCTGTCTGTCTGGGGTGGGGGCCATTTGCTGTCCTCTTGAGTGCTGGCCAGGATAAGGGGGAGGAGGTTTCCATAAAAAAGTATTGTTTAGGTGGAAAGACTATGCTTCAGCTACGGGAAAGACTGATCGCTCAAGCTGAAAAGGGGTCAACACAAAGGGTTAAAGGGGTGTTGAATGCTGGTGGAAGTGCTTGTGTTTACTCCAGCTATTTGACAGGCCTTAGAGACTTGTGGTTAATATGGGCATATTAAGTGTGAGGTTATGCCTTGAACTTGTGGTAGGTTTCTCAAGCAGTCTAAGCTTCACTGCTTCTAAAACTTGGATTTTGCTGGCTAAGACCTTCTTCTCACCTCATTACTATTGCCAGCTGAACAGAGGAAGATATTTGCTTGCCCTCACCACCTCCTCCTGAATAAACTTGATGGCATGTTCTGATCTGGGGGACTGAACTACATGGATAGTTGGATGAGTAGACCTAAGTGGCCAAAGCTAGAGAAGAGAATTTTGAAGGAGGCAGAGTTTGCTATTAGTGATCCTGCCTTCTGATGTCTGTACCCTTTCCTCCTTCCTCCTTCCAATGTCTAGTGTCCTTTTTGTGTTCTCCGCCAATCAAACCCTGCTTTCAGAAGAGGATTAGAGAGACAATGTGAACAGAGTACTTAGACTCTACCTGCTGTGTTGCTGTTTGTCCTTCGTTCTGGAAAAGGACCATAACATCAGAAAGGTGACTTGCAAGTGAATTGGATTTGAGTGAGGGAAGGCTGTGCAAAGTCACCAGTCTCACTTTCTCCTTTGGAGCCATCTGGGTCTAGTGGCAAGATATAGATCAGGATGTCTGGAGATAGCCACCTTGCCTGCTTTAAACTCAGTCAAGAGACACGGGTCCAAGTTCTGGCTTGGGTACTTCCTAGCTCTATGACTAGGAGCAACTCACAAACATCTTCTTTGATCTGCAGTTTTATCATTGGTAATATGGGGGAATCATAGTACTTGTGCTAGCTACCTCCAAGGATTGTTTAAGGAAAATACTTAAAGGGCTAAAAAAAAAGGCCAATTGTTATAATACTTTATTGGTGTGGTAGATAGGGATCTGGGTTTAGCATCAAGAAGACCCAGATTCATATCCTGCCTCTGAAAGATTCCAGCAATGTGACTCTGTAGAGAATCACTTAACCTTCAGGTGCCTCATGTCACTCCCTACAAATTTCAGTTTTGTAAAATGGAGGGAGTTCCCATACCAGGAGCTCCCCGCACTACATGAAGTGAAAGATCCTTCAAGTATTTATGTTTGAATTTATTCTTTTACCTCTCCTGGGGGTATTTTATTTGAAGTATTACCTCCCATTTATAAATAAAAAAAATTTTGTTTCTTTAGAAAAACAATCGTCAATGAGTAAGCAGGGGAGATTTTTTTTTGAGGTGGGGGTTGCAAATCGGGTCAGAACCAAGACAAGGCATTTGTGTGTATTAGACAAGGTTTTGAAAATCGTGCTGCTGGGCATTTGAAAATTGCATCTCCTTTGTGTTGCTAGCCACTGGAGGGTTAGAACCTTCATTGTAACATGTGACTTGGCTTATCATAAAATAAATAGCTTATGCATCTCGGAGAGTAGAACTTTCTGGCATTAAAATGTTTGGGGTTTTTTTTGTCATAGAAAGCATGATCAAAAAGTATCTCTAGTTGTGTGAGCTCTAGGTTCTTGCCTCCCTTGTTTATCCTTAGTCTAACTTCTAGGTGGGATTCCTTTCCACAGTCCTCTTGAAATTACACCTCATAGGTGGCCAGCCTGCAGCATAGGTGGCCAGCTCTGTAAATAGCTTTAGAATATAGTTAGCTTGCTTTATTCAACCACTCTGGGATCCTAAACTCTTTCTTTAGTTCCTGGCAAACTTTTCACTACTTTCAGGGCAAACATCTTTCTTTCTCCCTGGCACCGTTTCATTATTGTGACCTTTTTAATGACCGGTCAGTGCCTGAGGTTCATTTATCCCCTGGGGGTAACTAAACTTTATACCAATACCCACCTCTGACTACTATAAGTTGTGAATTGAAAAGTATCTTCCATTTTTGCAAACTACTGGGTGGCCTCCGAAAGTCTCCTTCTACTTTGGATGACTTTGCTTGATAATGAAATTGATCTGCCTTGGTACAGGGCTAGGCACTGGATATTTGAAGACCTTGATCTGACCCAAAATGATGCCAAGTGAAGAACAAATTCCATATGGAGTTATTTCTCTCTGGGAATTGACTCTTACTTGAGGCACTTGAGGGAAAGTGGACAATGGAAATTTAAAAACACACACACACCCCAACAATTGGGGGTGTGGTAGTGGTGATTGTAGGGAGAATGGTTTATAGGGCATTTTGAAAAGATGCTCAAGAGAGGTGAGAATTCCTTGTTTAGACTGCCCTCAATCTGCCAGGGGTCTCCATAGCTGGAAAATGTTAACAAATGGCCTGAGGTGGAAGGAGGGAATCTAAGACTCTGGGGGATCTGGAAATTTACTGTTGCTGTTCCAGAAGGCTGTGGCTTTGGGTTCTGTGTGTGTGTGTGTGTGTGTGTGTGTGTGTGTGTGTGTGTGGGTGGCTCTTCTTTTATTTCCAGACAGTCTCTCTCCCACATTTCAGTCGGCATATAAATACCCATCAGCACCTCAGTCTCAGGGACTGTCCCAGACAGCTGTACTGACCACTGTGTATTGTATACGTAATGTAATACCATTAACCATAATGCTGTCACATGGTAGGAAAAGCACTACAGACTACTGTACCGGGAGGAAGGAGAGAAATGGCCAGCCTGGCCAGCTCTCTTTTATATAATCACCAACTCAAACTTGCATTTCTCTGAAAGCAAGAAAAACAACCCAGCCACCTTTTGATTACACTTTTACACAAATTAATGCAATTTTCTTTTATAACAGTATTTACTGTGGGGTTCAATTTGGTCCGGCAGGCACTGGGTAGTGGAAACCATGTTAACAGCATCCCTACTGGGAGAGCATACTCAAAGAGGAGGGGGAAGGAAAAAAAAAACCCAACAAAACTCCACACCTCACGCCTATACATCCTTGTATGCTGCTGCTGCTGCTGCTGCTGTTTGCTGCTGCTGCTACTGCTGCTACTGCTGCTGCTGCTGCTGCTGCTGCTGGGATAGGTTTAAGATGGCATCTTGGTGCCCTGCCACATTCTGTCTCCTTGGTACCGAAGCAGCTCTCTGTTTCTTGTCACTGAGTGGATGATGATTATCTGTACCAGGGTCTCAAGGGTGCTCAAGCTTTGCTGGCAATTGGAGCTGAGCTGCTTCAGCTGAAGGATTTTAAAAGCTGTACAAGGCCAAGGCACCATTACCGGTCACTTGCTGCATGATGCTTGTTGGAGAGGGGGTGGAGGGTGGCAAAAAGGGGCATTGGGGAGAAGGGGGAGAGGAGATGGGAGGGCATATGATAGCTCTATCCCCTCCCTTGTGCTCTCTCTCCTTCTGTTTCCCAACTCTCCTCTCCTCCCCTCCCCACCTTCCTGTGCCTTTTTAGCCACTGTACCCTTGCTGAGGAATGACAAGGTTATGTCAGTGTGGTCTGAGAATCTATTGATCACTGCCATCAAAGATCTGTGCAGGAGTTTAGGGATTTGGTGCTTTGCATAACACCCCACTCATCTCTGTTAACTCCTTCAGTCCCAGGCTTGTGTCACCTCCAAGGCTAGCTGTTTGCAAAACTTGGTAATTTCTGTGACAGCTGCTTTCCGAACTCTAGTCATAAGGCTGTCAAAACCATTGTAATTACGATTGTAACAGAGCTCAGGTGCGTGACCCTGCCAGCTAAGTAGGTGAGGGAAATGGGTAACATGCAGGGAGGGGGAAAAGGGCACCTAATCCCCACCCCCAGCACACAAACACCTGGACAGGTTTGTACTGTCCCCTGGAGGGACAGGGAACAAAAGGACCAAATATGTAGAAAGATCTTGTTGACCTCCACCCTCCTAACCTTGGGTTATTTCTCTTTCAGCCATTGGAAAATGGAAAGGCACCCTTGCACCATATACTTGGATTCTGACAGATATAACAAGTATCTGTGTGTGCATACACCACAACAGTCTTCCCCAAGGACTCTTGAGCAACGGGTACATCTCTAAAACCAAATAATGACTGATTGAGTTTTTCCCTTGGCATAATTGAAAGACATACACATATAAGATATTAGGATCACCATGGTCACTCTGGGCCTTAATAATGTTAGGACAGGGGAATCCTTAGGATATAACTTGTAGCCTCCAAATCCCAAACCAAACAAGCAATTCCAATTTATTTCCCTACCTTTCATTGTGAAGGTACAAAGGATGCATAGGTGAGGTTTCTGTTTTGGAGCTGGACAACCAGTTTAGAAAGCAGCTACCTGGAAGTCCGCTGTCCATACAGCTGCCGAAGTGAGATTCCTAAATCACAAGTCTGGCAATGCCACTCTCTTTCTCCAGATGTTCCAGGGGCCCCCTGGTGCATCTAGGATAATACACAAACCTTCAGTTTGGCATTTAAAGCTCTTTGCAATCTGACTCCAACCTCCCATTCCAGACTTATTACCTATTACTTCCCTTCATACACTCTCTGGGCCAGCCAAATTGGCCTATATGCGGTCCCTCACAGTAGATCCCAGCTCCTGTTTCCACGCTTTTGTAAGGGCTGACCCCCACACCTGGAAGTTGCTCCCTCCTTCCCTAGTTCTCTTCACTGTTCAGTTTAAGCCTTAACTTCTACAGGAGGCTTTTCTTGATCCCATTCAGTAGCTGTCTCTTCTCTGCCCCTGAAATAACCTTGAATCGACTTTGTATATATCTTTTATTCCCTTAAATGTGTGTATGTTGCTTCCCCACAGTAGAGTATGAACTCCTGTTTGGTTTCTGTTTTTGTATCCCTATTACTTAGTATAGTTCCTGGCATGAGGTAGATGCTTAATAAAAAAAAAAAATACTTGTTGATTGATTGAGTGATTGAAGCTGATCATGGAGAATTGCAACTTATTCAAAGCTTGGTGTTTTTTTGTTTTGTGGTCAAAAAGTTATCCAACTGGGAGCCACTAGCATGCGATGGGTTACTTATATCAGATCTCCTGGAACAGAGCCAAGAGGATCACTGAATTGGAACTGAGGATCCAGTCTATTGTGGAAATAGAAATTTGAGCATTGCCTTGATGTTGAGATCCAAGGAAGAAGGATAGTGCTGTCTAGTACAGAAGGGAAGAGGAAGAGAGCCATATCCCAGGCAGGAGAGAATGGTGTAAAGGAAGGAAGCAGTCATATTCATCCGTTCATTCATTCATTCATTTATCTGTTCACTCATTTATCCAGTCATAGGATCATAGACTTAGACCAGTAAGGGACCTCAAAGGCCATCTGGTCCAATCCTTTCATTAAAGCCTTTAAAGTTAAGTGCCTATAGTATATGCAAAGCACTGTGTTAGGCACTGGGGAAGGGATGCAAAGGTAATTAAGACAGGAAGGTACCTGTCCTGTGTTGCACAGAAAGCTGTTTGGAGAACTCTTGTGGAATCCAGTGAAATTTTACAAAGGGCAAAACACGTTTTTGAAGACAGAATGATGGTTCTCCACAATATTTTCTCTCTACCCCCTCCTCCATGTATTTTCGGATAGCTGAACCACTTGTGCATGGAGGGAGGCACCATTTCTGTTCTTGAGGCTGAATGCAAATGAAGTTTGGCCAGCACCAAGCTGAAATGATTGCCCAGGAGGAGAGCAAGTTATCTGCTAAGTTCAGCAGCAGGAGAGGGCTGCCAGTAGCTGAGCTGTGCCCTCCTCTCTGGGTGTCACTACAGCTAATGTACATCACTTTAGTGGCCCTCAAGGGGGCAGAGAATAAATTACCTGGCAGGAGAGGAAGGGAGAGGTGGAGGCTTTGAGGGAGAGAGTCAAGACCATAAAAAGAGAGGTTGGGGAAGAGGAGAGGAGGGGAGGAAAGGAAAGGGAAGGGGAGGGGAGGAGAGGAGAGAAGAGGAGAGGAGGAAGATCTCCCAGCCAGACGATTGCCAACCTCTCTTGGAATCCTAGCTCTTCATTCCCTGCTGTCCTAAAAGCCTCATTTGCTGAGGCTGACGAGACCCCTCTGCTGAGCCACACATGTTTCCCGTATTAGAGCATCAACTTTCAACACTTTGGGGGCTTAAAGTTTGGATTCCAGGCACTTATGTTTACAGTGTGACTCCAGCTCCCTCTCCTAACAGCTTTGAGGGACATTCGTGTTAGTGTTAAGGAGAACGGCTGCCTCAGGAGAGAGGGGAAAGCGGTATCTGGGCTGTATATTTGTAATGGGTAGTATTTGGCTCTCTTACTGTCTGACCTGTGGCCCTCAAATCCCAGAACTCTTATTTGAAACTGAACCAGCAGAGGGTCAGTGCTGGCTTACTTCCCAATCCTGACTGTATTTGCAGCCTACAGCAAAGGTGGAGAAAAAGCAGTGCGGTTTTTTACTTTTTTTTTTTCCAATTTTAATACTGTTTTCAGAGTTCTGGGGAAGAAATTTTGAGTGATTCTCCTGGACCTGCTTTGTCCAAACATGAGGGTCTCTTTCCCCCAAGTATCGTTCCATCACAGGATGACTTTACTCATACCATCACTTCTTTCTAGACAACAGATTAGGGAATGAAGGGGCCAAGGAGACAGGGAAGTCATTATCAGCCAATCTGAAATCAGGGGTGAGAGAGAGAAGGAGAGAAGCAAGATGAAGTCGACAATTCCAATGAAAGGATTTCTTTTCCAAGTAATGCAGATTAGACAAGAAATAGGTAGCCCTCTGTGTGGGGATTCAGGGCAGTGAGATATTACACACATGTACACCTATTGCTCGTGGGGTGCAAGCAGGTGTGTGCAGGGCTGTGAGATGTTACATGTATGTACATGCACGTGCCTGCTTGTACCCCATGAGCAATAGGTGTATATGTGTGTAATACAGTCCAGAACAGGGGGAAGGAGGAACTTGAAAGTAACTTCAAGCTTTTCTACAAACAAACAAATAAAAACCTGGAAACAAACCCCCAAACCTCAGAAATGCTCCCCAGCCTCAGAGTTTCACTTCTGTCAGATATTTTCATTTCCCCTTTACCTTCTTGTTGCTTTTCAGAACACCTTAGGAGTGAGGGGCCATTCCTCCTTGGCTGTCTCCTGCCTCTGCCAGTTCTGCTGCTGCTTTATGATCTCGCCGTTTTAATGAGAGCACAATCAATAACCATGGAGAGGTGCTGAAGACATTACAAAGGAACTAACCTTTAACAAGTCAAATCCAGATGAGGTGCAAACTGGACGGACAAGAGGATTAAAGTATTTATGGCAAAATATTAGAAACATGGGTAGAATTAGTTCTCATGGTGTTAAATATTTTACTTTTGGCAAGTCAGTATTTAAAGATCTTTCATCCTTGTTTTGCTTAAAAGTATTACAATAAGCCCTGGATTTTTCACAGTTATACTTGTATATTTTCACAGCTGTTTTAATCAGAAAAATTAATGTGCTTTTGATAGCTTGGAAATCTATCATTGGCAAATGCTTTACAAAAATGTGTTACACAGCAGAGTGGAAATCCTCAACATTATATATTTTGCCTATTTGAAATTCACAGAATTTCCCCTAAATATTTTCTTGAGTAAATTAATCTAACAACTCCGGGCCATCTTCTTGGACAATCTCTTTTGTTCCAGATGCAGAGATTGCTATTGTTAACATTCTTTTGGATCCAGACTTGGACTGTCTGTTACTGGGGGGAAACACAATTGCGATTTTTTGTTTGTGTTAGATTTATTTGCCCAAGTAAAATATACAACACAAACTGATGGGCCGGGACAGACACTTTTCTGAATGGTGTTAAGACAACTGTCTCGGGTCTAGTGTTCCTCTATTTGCACAGACAGCATGTAAAATGATAACTTTTCTTAACCCACGTGTTCATACACACACACACACACACACACACACACACACACGAGCAGTAAGGTGTATGGGGGTGCAGGTTGCGGGGGAGTGGGAGACAGAATCAGTGAGTACCCACTGACGCAGGGCAAAGAGAAAACTCCTACCAGCAAATGTCGAGTTATGCCTCCAATCACATCAACCAAAATCTCTCACAATGAGGGTAGAAGACGGAGGAGCAGAAACAAAAGAGATTAACCAAAGTCTTGGCTTGCCACTGTTTGCCTTGCAAAGAGAGGGGCTGATTTAGAAGGGGGGGGGGAAATCTGTGGATTAATGTGAACTTTAATACTGAAGCGGTGTGTGTTTATTGCTGGTGACCACAAGACATAAATCTTGCCAGCACAATATACAATGGGAGGCAGCCCCCTAGGTTTTTTTTTTCAGTCTCAATTTGTGTGTAAGTGTGTGTTAAGTGCCGTTGAAAAATAGTGACCTTTAATAAAGGATTGTATCCTGAGACTCTTTTCCCAGACACACAGTGACCTTTCAAACCAGACTGGGGTGAGGGGGTGTGGAGCCTGGACTTTGAACCGGCCAGTTCCTGCTGGGTTCCTCTGTTAGCCTGGCTACTACTTATTGTGACACAAGGGAGCGTTCTGTATGCAAAGCAGGCTGGCCTGCCAGCCTGAACCTTTGCAAATCAATTTGTCTGTGAAGGCGAGTCCACTGGAGTGAAAGATGGTCTAGCAGGACACACTGCGCCCCCTTTCTTTGTGACATCATCGCTTGTGGCACTCTTGTCAGGCACATCAACCCGAAAGGGACTGTTGGAGAGGGAGGGGTGGGGGGTGGTGACTGGAGAGGGGGATGGGAGAGGTTAATCCTTCCTGACCAACTGTGGCCACAGACACAGACAAGGGGCGTTCTTCTTTAGGAGACAAAGCAGGGTGTTCTTGAGGGGGTGAGCTGAGGGGAGGAGGAGGTGTTCCCTCGCTTCAATATACCCATTCATACCCCTGGCAGGACTATGGGGGCTTGCTTAACCCTCACTCCCAACTGTCCCATGGATCTGTCAGGTATCTGACTCCCAGGGACCAAAGGAGAGTTAGGGCCCAGGGTAAAGGTTAAAGGACATGGGGGAGGAGGGAGGGAGACAGACTGGATGGGTGTACCTGGAGAACAGAATAGAGACACTGGTGAGTGAGGGTCTTGGATGCCTCCTTTCCATTTTAGAGACCCTCAGCTGCAATTCTCTCCTACAGTAAACCTTTTCATAAGGGTTAATATTATTATTGATTTCCCTGGGTCTCTTCAACACCTAGGCCTCTACATTAATCAGTATCTTAAAATGCTAGGAAAGACAGAGAAATTCAATTACTTTGTTCCCTAAATTCAAACTTCTCTGTGCAGCCCTCTTAAAGATATGGAAATCCTGCATTTTTCATAAAACAGTGGTTAGATCAATTTCTATGTAAGCAATTAATCATTTTTATACTCCACAAAAGATGGGGAGCAAAGTTCGGCCTACTAGAGCAACACTGACTGATTAGTCTCTCTGTGCGCAGCCTTGTGGGGAAGACCCAAAACTCTTGACTAGCATACAAAGATGGCCCGTGATGACATAACCTCTGAGCCTCTAGAAGAGGTGTCTCATGGCAGTGGTGGGGGATCTGCTGGCCACCCTGAAGGTTCTCAGGAAATGTGGACTGTCTGTAAAAAATGTAATGAACATTCTAATAGCATAAGTTCCATGAATGAATGACTCACTCCTGAAGGGTGTAAAAGATCTGGGAACATTTGATTAGGGGTCGTGAAGGAGGGGGGAGAGGGAAAGCAGAATAGACGCAATATTTTCAAACACCTGTTTCACTTTATAGGCTGATATCAAAGGCAGATTAAGATGTGTTTGTGTCTATGTATAAATAGATACACATATGCATTTATCTACATATTATTTTGGGCGAGACTAGCAATCACGTTTTCCAAAATAACCCCAAAATGCAGAAAACCAATATTTTATCTGTATACCATGTCCTTTCTAGGAAGGCTTATAGAATAATTTGCAGTGTTATTTATAAGCTGACAGAGGGAAGAAATTAGGGGCAGAGGAGAGGAGTAAGTATTTAAAGTAGAAATAATTGAAAGATGCATTTGACCTCTCACCTTTTAAGAATAAAAGCAAAAAGGTTAGTATGAACCAGAAAACCAGAGGAGAATTTCTTGGAACATGCACATTTTGTTTTGAATTATTTTTTTTATTTTTAGGTTTATTATTATTATTATTTTTTTTTAAAGATCAGCCGTCTAAAATGATGGCAGGTGACTGGGGTGTCTTATTCTGATGTATAGGATTTTGATATTCCTTCTGTTTTCAGTGAATGACAGAGAGGGTTGGCAATATTTGAATCACAGAATGGAAAGCCAGGAGGGAAGACATTGGGTCTAAATTTCTTATTCTGTAAGTGAGGTTAATGAGGCTCAGTAAAGTTAAGTGACTTGTCCCACATCCTATGGCTAGTAAGGGGTCATCAGGAACTTGAACCCAGACCTTCTAATTCCTAGTCTAGAGTTCCTTTTACTCTACTATGCTAGAGGTTGTAATGTGGACAGAGGTAGGGAATATAGTTTGGTTCTAGTGATCTTGGAGTCTTCTATAGCAATGAAAAGGAAGTAGAAGGTAGAAAAGTAGAAGTCAAGAATGCAGTAAAAGCATCATGCCTAGGAATGCTGTTAGGATCCTGGAGCCCAGGGTGGTGACTGAGCTTGTCTTTATCTACCCATGTGACTATATCTGGGTAGGGAAGCCATAGGAAAGAAACTCCTACCAGTACCAATCAGCAACCATCTTGAAATTTAGAGTTTTAGAGAATTACCTAGAGTTCAGTGTCACCAGGAAAGTATTTGGGGAAAGTAAGGATCGAACCCAGGTCTTCCTGACTCCCAGGCTGGCTCGCTATCACATTTTACTGGCTCTCAAATAGGAGTTAGAGGTATAAAATTAAAAACAAGCAGATATCTAAGAGATGGGCTAGCAAATTCCAAAATAATCCAAGGAAATACTGACTGGAAGAAAATGGCAGTAATTATGTCTACAGGTGATTGGTAAGATCTTCCAGAAAGAGGAGAGATGATGGTTAAAAAGGGCATATAAAATAAATAACACTTTACTGTATTTATTATTAGATGTACTTAGTTATAATTTGGGTCAATTCCTATCTCCTAAAAGAATAAAAACTACATTCAGCAAAAGCCTGATAAGCCATGATTAGCCTATAAGGTAGATGTTGGTTCTGTCCCCCACATAGGTGTTATAAGATATTCCATTGTATTCCCCAAAGATATGAACCAAGCCCAGAGCCTAAGACATGAGAATAGACTGAGGAATTTCTTCCTGGAATAACATAAACCAGAACCATTGTTATTAAGCATCACTCTATCCTTATATAAATATATAGTTATAAAGTGTATTCTTATCTCTTATTCATCTTCATATGGCATGACTGGCCAACAGGTTATTCCCAGATTGGGAAAAAGCAATTAAGTGACTTGGACAAAGTCACATGGGAGAAGTTGGAGCTAGAGAACTGACCTTGTGGACTTGGCTCTCTTCTGTGTCTCTCCCTGTCTACACATTCTCCCAGTTGAATTTGTGCTATTGACAGGTTATGAATACTGTGGATTACATTATCTCAGAATGTTTCTCTTACCAAGAGAGAAAGTTGATTATTATTATCAACAGGAACTCTGAAAGAGATGGAGAAGAGATAGGGAATCTGTAATGAGTTGAAGAAAGGAAAGGGGTCATTAGCCAGCCAGGCCATCATACTGGTAGCACAGGAATGAAAGCCTTCTTGAAAATGATCCAAGAGGCAGGATTGAACCACGATGGAAAGAGGCAGGACATTTGCCAGTAAAAGAAAGGTCCGAGACTATTTTTCTTTGCTTCCTCTCATTAGAAGGGACAACACTGTCCTTTTTGGCTCTGCCCCAGCTGTGCCCAACAGAGAGGAAATGACTTTGTAGACAATGTGAAAGATAAACAAAGTAGGCTATGACAACTGCTGAGTTTGTCCATTTAGGTGCACTGAGTTGTGATTACTAGTGAAGCAAAGGTGTGTGAAGCAGGAGACACTTGAAAAAGAACAATGGCTTCTATAAATCAAACAGGTAATTTTTCTTAATGTATAGTCTTTCCTATAGGAAGATGATGCTACTTACTGGTTCTTTATTCAATTCATTAAAAAGTATTTATTACGTATCTACTATGTACCAATGGAGACAAAGACAAAAAACAAGAGATAGTGCTAGCTCTTGAGAAGTTTGTATTCTACTAGAAGCTTTATAGTTGACTGCACACATTAAGATTTTATGGAATCATGGGTTCAATGGGAGCTTGAGTCCCTAGAAGAGATCTCAGAGGCCATCTAGTCCAACTGGAGCCTCTACAATATTCCTGACAAGTGGATATCTAGCCTCCCCTTAAAGACCTCCAATGAAAGGAAGATCCACTACTTTCTGGGAAAGCCCATTTCATTTTTGGCCATCTTGAAGTGTTCAGAATTTTGTCCCACACTAAATTTAAATAACTCTGTAACTTCTACCCAGTCCTTCTCTTTCTGCTATTTAAGGCCAGGCTGAATAAATTCACTCTCTCTTCTACCCATCAAATACTTAAATAGATGGCAAGAGAACAGGGAATGGGCTCACTAGGTTCATTCACTGGTGGTACTGATGATGGGGAAATATGGCATGGTATTGACAAAGCCCGTAACAAGATAGGAAAAAGAAAGAACAAGGTCTTAGAAGTGGAAGAATGCATTAGAACTTTTAAAGAGACATGTTATTAACTGTGAGCCTAGGGTATGAGGGAGGGGGCAGAATTATAGAGAGCATTTGGATGAAGATCAACAGAGGGAGAAATAGAAGCAATAGTGTGGCAGATGTATATTACAGAGCACTTGTTCAGAAGGAGAAAGTGAATGATGAGTTACAGAAATAGCTCACAAAAGTGGTGCAGAAGCAGTCTTTGGTGGTGATGGAGGACTTCAGCTATACAGACATAGATAGGGTCGTAGTATTTAGAGCTCAAAAGGGTCTTAGGGATAATCAAATCCAGCCCTGTCTGTTTACAGATGGACAAAATTGAGATCCTAAAAGGTTACAATGACTTGCCCAAGGTCGTCTAGATGGAGTACAATCCATGTTTTATGACTCCAGATCTAACTTTTTTTGGTGTATGTTGTGGTACACACAGAGTTCTTTCTCTGATTAAAGTACAGCAGTTAATAAATTATTGCCTTGATGATCATTTCATTCTTCCACAGAAAAACAATAATATGTAACATTTATACAATCAACTAAACTTTACTCAGTAATTGCTTACGTTCAGATTAACTTAAGTTTATAATGTATCATAACAACTTTTCAGTCACTCCCTCTAATTCTCCATCAGGACTCTTTGCCCATGCATTATCATTAGCTTTTCCTCTTAGGTCATAAATTCTTAAACCCTACCCCCCACTTTTTTTGATGACATGGACCTATTTGGCAG